CTCCCGGCCCGGCGGGCTCTGTGGGGCGGCGGCCCCCCGACAAGAGGCTGACCCGGCTCTTCCCCCGTCTCCCCGCAGAAAGTCCAGCAGTACACGGTCACCGTGCAGGCCACAGACATGGAGGGGAACCTCAACTACGGCCTGTCCAACACAGCCACGGCCATCATCACCGTGACAGATGTGAACGACAACCCGCCCGAGTTCACCACGGGCACGGTAAGCTGCTCAGAGGCATGGGGCAGACGCACCCTAACGGGGCCGGGCACGGGCGCCGCTCAGGCCTCTGTGGCAAGGGAGGGGCCGCGCCTGGTGCGGAGCACGGGGCCCCGGGAAGTGGCCGTACGCAGAGGGCTGACGGTGCTGCCGGTCGGACATCCCAGCCTCTGGGAGACCAGCACCCCCTCCACAATGGCCCAGGAGCCAATGCCCGGTGTCCCCACGTGTGGCACTGACGCGATGGACACGGGCCCGGCCAGGTACCACCAGGAAGGCAGCCGGATGGGGTCTGCGAGGCTCCTGAGGCAGCCGCGACTCGGCTGCTGGGACCCCAGGGCGTCCCCTGCTCCTACACCCCTGCACCACCCTCTCCCAGTGGCTGGATGAATGAGGGCCAAAAGAGACAGCAGCGATGACAGCCCTGCATGTCTGTGGAACTCCAGGGCCAGGCTGGCCGGGGCTCCAGCAGCCTCTGAGCCCACCTACCCTGGGCGGGTCAGGGCTCAGCTTTGTCCAGAGCCCTGGGCTCCAGGAGCTGGAGCCACCAGCAGGGGGTGCAGCCGGGCGTGCACCCCAGAGAAGTCTATGCCCGATCCCATCTATGCCGTCACTCCGTAGGGGGGCGGGGGGGAATGCAGCACCTTGGGGGGCGGACAGTCCCTCCCCCAGAGCACACGCCAGCTCTGCCCGCTGGACCAGCGAGACTATGGGATGTGCACGTGGCGCCATCTAGTGGGAAGATGGCAGATTGCAGCATGGAGGGAGCTCAGGTGGGGTACCCGGGTGCCCCCCTGGGTGTCCCCCTGGGTGTGGGCTGTGACTGCCTGGGGCGGCAGAAGCTTGGGAGTATTCAGGCAGGCCCTGATGTCCTCCCAGGCCTGGGGATGCTGTGGAGCCCCCCTCCCATTCCCACTGGCAACGCAGGCAGGAGGGGCTCAGGGCAGGCCCTGGGGAGGCTGGACACAGACACAGCTGCCACCTGGAACCCAGAACAGCGCCACCCAGGCCCCGCAGCCCATGGCCCCTGCACAGCGGCCGGGCAGGCCCAGCCGTCATCCCTCCCACACCGAGAAAGAGGCCCTGGAAGGTTTGGCCTGCAAGTCCTTGGTTCGCTCCACCCCCACCTTCCGTGGTGCGACAGGACATGTGGCCTCTCAGGACGGTGTACCCAGACCCGTGCAGGGCCACTCGGCCTCCCCACAGCAATGGCAGGGGGCCCCGCTTCTCCCCACTTCGCCCAACACTGTCCCCAGGGCACAGAGTGTCCTGCTGTCCCCCAGCACCAGCTGAGCCCTGCTGTCAGGGCGTGGCAGACGGACAGCCTCAAGACCTGTGGTCACCGTGGACACGAGGGCAGGGAGAGCCAGGCCCAGTCCAGAATGGGTTTGTCCCCAGCAGGAGGAGGGACGTGAGCGCGGTCAGCAGCAGTGACTTCAGGAGGACCTGCCAGAGGGTGCAGGGGGTCACGGCGGGGGTGAGGGGAGCCCTCAGGACAGGAAGGGATTCCCAGAGGCCTGAGCCTCAGTCTCCTCATCTGGAAATGGGGTATCCTGGAGACATCTATGCCGGATCCAGACACCGGCCCACCTCCTGGCCCACAGGGAAGGGTTCGTCTTTAGCCTGGGGGCTGGGCCAGGACCCTGAATAGGCCCCTCCCGCCAGCCGAGGCTCTGGCTCCAGATGCCGCCGTGGTCCCCACTGTACCCTCACTGAGCCTCACGGAGGCCTGTGCAGGGGATGCCGCCACCGGTTTCCAGCACCCCGTGCCCTCATCCCTCGCCCCTCATCCCTGTCCCTCATCCCTGTCCCTCATCCCTCATCCCTGTCCTTCGTCCCTCATCCTGTGCTCAACACCCCCAGTGGGGCCCTCCCCCAGCAGCAGACCTGCGGACGTGGTCCAGAGTCATGGTCCAGGGTCGTGGTCCAGGCTTGTGGCCCGGGCACACCGCCTGTGCTGGGACTTGGCTGTTGCCGGCTTCTCCCTCTCCCCTGCTTCGCTCAGACGTGGCTGCATGAACTCCCCACGGCCCTGCCCATTTTCAGTTGGATCCATCCAGCCACGCACTGGCTTTCATGGCCCAGGCCTGGTTAGTCGTTTCCTCTTTGTTAAGAAGTGGAGTGGTGGGAACCAGTAGTTAGCATAATGGCTATGTCACTGGACTCCCACGTAGTCGACCGCAGTTCACGTCCCGGACCCGGTGACTTAAAACTCACAACTCACGCCGGGCACATGTGCGTGCGTGCCCAAGATCCCGAGAGGAGAATGGAGGAGAATGGAGGAGAAGGGATTGTGGCGTGACCATCCCCCCGGGGGGTGATTTCTCGGTTTCTGTCTCTATGTCTCTCTCTGTCTGTCTGGCGAGCGCACGCGCCCTATAGTGAAAAGAACCTCTCCAAAAAAAAAAAAAAGAAGTGGCCCCCGGTCTTGGGACAGTCACTTAGAAGGTGTGAAACTGCCTTGAAGAGGACCCCTCCCAGCCTGCACCGGGCTTCCCAGGCCTCCTCAGTCCCCACTCGGGCAGGGGCACGCCCACCTCATGGCCTTTGCATCTGGAGCGGTGCCCTCGTAATGTATGGGGAGACCTTTCCCACCCACAGATGGGGACTGTCCAGGCGGGCTTTAGCCTTTGCTTATAAGGAATTTCCACCTCACAGAAACGGTGAACAGGACGGTCCAAGAGCAGCCACGGGTACCGGCCCCCGGTGGCTCTCCAGACGCCTGAGAGTGGCTCTCTACGCCGCAGCCACACAGACCCGTGGGCCCACAGCGGGCTCCCAGGGCCTTGGCGGGGAGGGGTGTGGGGGGGAGGGGCAGGGCGGAGGCGGGTGATGGCCTGCCTGGCTCGTACTCGGCCATCGGAATAAGTGAATGCCACCCTCTGTACCCGCCTCTGAAAGTGGAGCCTGGGAGTGACACTGGGCCCAGCGGAACCGGGGCCTGACCTGTGCGCTGTCCCTCAGACCCGTGCGTCCTGGGGCTGGGTGACCTTGGATGGCAGCAGGGGGAGGAGGGATGGCCTCGCCGGGAGTAGACTGGTGGCGGTTCCTCTCAGGCCTGGTGGCAGCGCCTCTGTTCTACCGTGGGCCGAGACCGGCTGGGGTGCAAATACTCAGGGTCAGAATAACCCATGGCACGACACCTCGAGAAGGTGCAGGCAGGCCCAGGACGCTGTCTGCTCTTCAGGGTGTGAGTGGGGGCAGGGGCACTGGTGGGCTGGGCAGGCAGGTCGTGCAGCCCCAATACTGATGGGCTATTTTATCAGCTTAATCAAGAACAATCAGCGGGTGCACGCAGATTTGCATGATCTGATTCCTGCTCTTAAATGGTAATTCACCTTTTCCTCAGCCTGCTCAGCACACGCACGGCCCAACGCCTGGACTGCAGTGGGGCCTGCAGTGGGGCCTGCAGTGTGAGCTGGCCGCGTGCTCCCCACCCCCTCAGGCGGACTGTGGGCCCGCTGGGTAGGACACACCTTCAGACCTGCCCAGACCTCCCGAGCCGGTTCATGGGTCTGAGGCAAAGCCCTCGGGGATGTGTACCGCCCAGCACAGGGCAGCCCTGGAGGCGAGCATCGGCCAGCCTCCCTCCAGTTCAGGCCTCCCCCACCACACAGCTGCCTCGGAGGCTCTCCTCGAGCCAGGGAGGCCGGGCACTGGCCCCCCCCCTGGCCATGGAGCCGGGGCCGAGAGCCAGGCCCGCTGACTGCAAGCGTCCTCGTGAGGAAGCGCACAGAGCACCTGCTCATCCACGTCCAAGTTTACGCCTTGAACGAGGCCACCTGATTTCACAACGGCCACCACCCCGGCATCAACCTGGTGGCCGTGTGGTCGAGGTTCCACATCACAGACCTGGAGTCCCCCTCCATGCAGCCCTCGGGCCATGCCTGAGCAGTCCCAAGAGGCATTGCACCCACTCTCAGCACGTCACAGCCGCCAGGTGCCACTCAAACGCTGGACACTGGCACGGAGACGCTGGCACGGCACCTTCTCATGGCGTGCTCTGGTCCCCACCCCAAGGCAAGCATGCGTGACGCTCGGACAAATGTCTGAAAACGGGAGAAGGAGGCACAGTGGTTCCCACCCTCCAGGGTCCCCTGTAGGCAGGCGAGAGGACAGGGACAGTGGCGTGTAGAGCGGTGGCTGGCCCACGGCTCGGCCACGGCCACTGTCATCACCTTTAATGATTATGTGCAGGTCACTCGTCCAAACAGCTTGGAGGAGGTTTGCCAGGAGCCCTGGGGTCCATGGATCTGTGCCCCTTTTTGAGGTTCTTCTGGAAGCTTCTGCCTCTAGGAAACCAGGGCAGCTCCTATAGCACCATCCTCGGGTGAGAGACCTGCTCCCAGGGGGGATGTGGCCCATGGGCGTGCAGATGCCAGGCTCCTCCCAAGCCTGGCAAGGCGAGCCAGGGCGGCCCCAACCACAGCGGCCTGGCCCTGACAGTGAACTCCAGGCCCCCTCGGCGTTTTCCTTCCACGCACAGGCCCCGGAGGAGGGAGAGATGTCTGTCTAGCCTGAGACCCAGAGAAAAGGACTTGGCATCTGGAACCTGGGCGGGACTGGACGCTCTTAATTATGTCTGGGCGTGCCGCACGAGCTGCACATAAATACTTACCAGGGCCAGCTTTTCTGAGGCCGAGAGGCCAGAGCTCCCGTCCTGCCCAACAGCGCCGCCCCCTCCCCTCCCTCCAGGCCGGTGTCGCTCCCTAGGGGACAGCCGCGGCCAGTGACACTCCGAGGGCTGGTGTCTGGAACCGTCCTAGGTAGGGGTCGAATCAGACCCAGGCCTTGCCCCACTGGACTCCGCCTGGGAGCACAGCCTTGCAGGAAGACAGAAGTGGACAGGGTGCATCTGAGGGGAGACCAGGTGGGGACACGGCTCGGCGCGGTCCCTCAGCCTGGGTGCCCGGTCATCGGTGTCTGTGGCTGACACTGACGATACTGTGGTGCCCTCCTCGGGCCCCAGACCCTGGAGGGCTGGGCAGTGTCTGGAGGGCAGGTCCAGAGCCCAGCGGGCGCAGGCAGCCCGGGGACAGGTGGCCCAAGGTCAACCTGACGGGGCTCGGCCAGGCCGACCAGGGACTACTGGGCCTCGGCCCGTCTGTCCCTGCCGACTGGGCTGGCAGAGGGCTGGGTGCATCACCATGGGGGGTCCCTCAGCCGGATCCCCACTCACAGGGACACGTGGGGTGACAAGGCTTCAGGACCCCATCTGTAGACGCCAAGGACCCAGCACCCCAGATCTCACTCTGCCAGCCTCAGCTCTTGGGCTGGGAGCTGTCGGCGGTGAGACCAGGCCTGCTGAGCCGCCTGCTGGCCCCGACGGCCGGGACACTCGCGGACTGGGCCAGGGACAGTGGCAGAGGCTCCTGCTATGCCCTTCACTTACCTCGGCGGGCCCCCCCGCGGGCAAGGCCGGCACCGCGCA